TGGTCACGAAATGTGGGGAAACCATACGAAAGCCTTGGCTACTGAGCGCCTCACCATTGCGTATGACTTCATTCATGTCGATCATACCGGTGCCCACCGCCACACCCGTATCCCTTCTGTCCCTATCAGTGGTGGGCCTCCAATTGGCGTCACTTAAGGCCTGTTCGGCCGCTATTAACGCATAAATGGTTGCCTTCGACAGAGTCCTCAACTCATTGGCTGTAAACCATTGGTTCAAATCAAAGCCATCACCGGTCGGCACACTGATCACGGTATGTATCATATCGTTTAAAAAGTGATATTTAATTATAATTAATTCATTTAATCATTATTTAGTAATCTTTCAATTGTTGTATACTGACTAAGCGGCCACTTTGCAGGGAATCGTCTCATAGCCCTCTCCCACCACTCCACTCACACCACACTTGCCTGCTATGAGGTTAGACCACACCTGGTCTGTGGTCACCCCTAATGGACAGACAGTGCCGATGCCCGTCACCACCACTCGACACACGTCGTGCATACCTCTGCTAATGAGCACTCGTTTCACGCATTCATGACTCCTGTTCGCCAACAATCTGTTGATAACTCTTGCATTCAATTTACTAAACATTATATCAATTAAACACTTGTTTTAATCACTTTTCACATTATTTCAGAAAACATTTCAATAGATTTGAAAATATAGGTATAACTGTTAATATGAGTTTATATATTATATTATTTTTATTAAATAAATATACATTAACCCGGATCATATCAACCAGGTTGAGGTCAAAGTTCACAATTACAGTTAACTAATCAGCTGTAACAATTCTACATGGTCAAGCTACTTTGGTCTGATTGATATTACATTGATGTTAATTTAGCAATGTTGCCAAATAATTAATTAATTAAATAAAGTGTAAAAATAAAATAATAATTAACGTATTGTTAAATTAATGGTTAATTAAATTGTCACTAAAATGAGCATTTAACAATTTATATAATCACAAATATTTCATTTCAAATAATCACAAGTTTTTTAAATGCAATCAAAATAAGTAAACATAAAATGGTCATAAATGATGTGCAATGGGGTACTAAATGTGTACTTCATATGAGTACATATTTCTATAGATTTTGCGTAAAACAGTCAAAACATAATTCATGTATATATTGAAGTCATTTGAAGCGCCAAATCCGTATCCATTGGTTTCGCAATACTATTGAAAAAACTTTGTTTACAAACAATATTTTCAGATATTCGGTGTCCATGAATGGCACCATACAGTGAACAGGTATAAAAGTTGAATATAAAGTCATTACATTTAACCCTTCATTCACTCACAACTATTTGAATGATGCCCCCAATGGCGAGCATATATGTGATCAGCTGATACTCAGCCACACGTGTGTTGTCCAGGGAATGTCAACTTTGAATCGTGTGTTCAACACTTTGACCACATTTTTGTTGATTTTAATTACTTTTAGTTTTCATTCAATTCATTGAACACTACATTGTTTTCATTGATTATCACATGTTATACACCACTCACTGACCACTGAATAGCACGACAACTATGACTGAAATCACTGCCGAGAACTTCGAGCAGATGTGTCCGATCATCACCACCGACATCAAGCACTCGTCATTCATCGGTTAAGACACCATTCATACTATTCTTGCAATCGTCTAATCAATGATCACTTTATATGACATGCGATACAGCGGTGGACACAGAGCTGACAGGACTGGTGATCGACCGCAGATGCACTCCATCTCTGTTCGACTCATTGGACCAAAGATACCAAAAGCAGAGACAATC